GCTACAATCGATCTATAGATAAGCCCTAATGGAAAGTGGTTCACTGGAATCAGCCCTGGGCGCTGGGTTCCAAGCTCGCGAGCGAAACAAGTTTCTTGGGCCGATGTACTGTCCATAATTTATACAAGAATTCAGTACAAGTTTTATTTTCATTTTTTATTTTTTGTTTTTTTTTTGTCCATGCCTTATTTGTGTACCGTACAGTGGCTCAAGTTGAGCCATTCTTTTTTTCCATTTCGGATGTCGCAGTCGAAATATGAGAAATACAATTTATACATTCGCGTATACATATGTATGTACTTACGTACGTATGTATTCTTCTGTGGCTGCTTCTCGCCCCGAATGTTAATGATCCATTAAAAAGATTATGTGCCTGAGTGGCGATGTGTCGGTACCTCGACGTTTCTTTATGAAATCTCCCGCTCTCTCTCCCTCTGTCTCTGCCTCTCCATCAGTGGGCCTTTGCCTCTGCCTTGCCTCTATCTGTTTGTTCAGTTATTTTCGTTTGTTTTTTGTGGGTGTCAAAAGTTCGGCTGTTGGGTGTTATATGATGTGTTTGGCTTTGGCACCGTCTATCGACCATAATTGAAGCCCATTCAATTAATTGCAAAAGTGCTCAAGATAACACCAATCTGTTTAATAGATCAGTCCCCTAATACACATTGTATTCTTCTTGTTCTTTCAGATCTGGCAGTCTTCGCGTCTCACACATCTGGACAAGGAGCTGCAGAGTCTTAAGCGGGTCGTCAGCAGTCTCCAGCAGCGTTTGGGCATACAATATCTGGACGAACTCGACGATTTCCAAAAGGAGGTGAGTCCATATATAACTTACTTATTCAAGAAGCGATTTCTGCCGATTCTGTGGTAAATACGCTTTATTTGAATTGCTTACCAAGTCAGAAATTGTGGGCCATAATATTGTTGTTTTCTGTGGATGCCCGATGCCCCGTAATTGGCTGGGAGAAGGCGGTATATTGGACTGGAGAAGGTGTCCGCCATTTTAATGGGAATTCTATTCTTCATAGATTCTATATAGAAGCAGTTCCAGAGTAGGGTACAACTTAGTCGAATAGATTCGACATTTGTTTCATCTCTTTCGAAACTATGCCTCCGATATATGTGGAAATAGCGTGGCACACACATACCGGTATTTATAGAAATGCCTGCTGAAATTAAAATATATTCTCAAAGAATTTTCCATCTTTTTGCTGTCCCGCTTTTAATTAATGTTTTACGAATGCCAAAACAAAAAAGAGCCGGTGACGAATAGTGATAGATTATTTGAATATACATATACGAGTAATGTGAACAAAAAGAACACTCAATTAACTATGAGATACATTCGGTGACGATGAAGCGCCAGGCGGTCGGTCACAGTAAATTTATGGGCTAAAAAGCCCACCAGTGACATGGGGCAAAAGCCCCAATAATTCTCTATCTAAATACGAGAATATGTATAATATTATGTAGATGTATCCGTTCAAGGCAAGGGTTTGCTATTGGTTTTATGTGCTTGCAGCCAAAAGTGACGATTGATCTGATCTCATCAAATGGCCTAATGGCCAGAGATCGTTTTAAGATTTATTTATATTTTTATATTCGGAAATTGGGGTTGGGGTTGGGCATCTGTGCACGCAATTCTCTAGAGTTTTTTTTTGCGTTTTTGCCTTTTTTTTTTGGTTGCGCGAGGCGCCATCAATTAGAAATGATGATGAAAACAGCTTTTGGGTCTGAAAAAAGAACTCCCAAATGAATGTGAGATACGTTTGAATGTGCCAGGTTAGGGCCAGCTGCAGTCACGTACTTGGCCAAGTATTCTGACCCCAAATGCTGACCTACTACTCCTTTGCAGTACGAGAATGCGCTCATTGAATATCCCAACAAACTGGACGGCATCCCCGACGATGACGACGACGGCGACGGCGATGGGGATGGTGATGGGGAGGATGGTGATGAGGACATAGATGCAGACGACGAGGACGGCTTTTTCATCGACCATGGGGATGAAGAAGGAGACGGGAGTCTCTATGACGAGTACGACGAACCGGAGGAAACCACGCCAGCGCCTAACACGGAGGAACCGGATGGCAACAACAGCGCCTCGTCTGCCTCTAACGATGACAACGTCTACGATGATTTTACCAACTACAACGATTCCAAAAAGAAGAAAAATAGGTGAGTAACGACTCAAAGGCTTTGATTTTGAACCATTTTATTGACCGGTGTCCAACAGGAGGAAGTCTCGCTCGATTGCCGATGTGCGCAATGAGGTGCAGACAACACAATCCAACCAAACGGAGCTGAACGAGAAGGCATCCACTGAGGCCAAGGAGAGGTAAGTGCTCAGAGTCTAGAGATTAAATTGTTTAGATTTAACCCAGAGTGTTTTCAGCTCATCCTCAGGGCAGCACAACCATCGCCGCAAGCTGCGTCCACGCACCAGTCGCCAGAGGGTTCTGGTCCGGAAAGGTGTGTATCCGCAAACACAATTGGCAGAGAACTGATTTCAAAAGCAAAAACCAAAACTCTATTTGCATCTCTGTTAACTTGCAGGTGAATCTCTTATTTCAGCCAAATCCACAACCAGCTCGGGCTCCCGCACCCCAGCCGCACACTTCCATCTGAATCGCAAGGTGCCGCACCACAATGCCCCCATTCAACTGAGTTGTAAGTATCTCAGTAAGGACTCAAAGATCTCTGATGATAATCTCTGATTTTCCGTAGCGCACCAGGGAGACATGTACATTGGACATGCCACAGCGGGCAGCGACAACGCGTGGCAGGAGTACTTCAGTATCACCAACGGAGTTCTGACGGCCCATCACCCGGGACTGTACTACGTGTATGCCCAGATCTGCTACAACAACACGCACGATCAGAACGGGTTCATTGTGTTCCACGGCCACAACGCCTTTCTACAGTGCCTGAACACGGTGCCCACGAACATGCCCCAGAAGATTCACACGTGCCACACCAGTGGACTGATCCAGCTGCGCGAGCAGGAGTCGATCCACCTGCGGGACATTCATCGCGATCGCAACGTACTGCTGAGGGACTCCAACAATCGCAGCTACTTTGGCATCATCAAATTGTAGGCTCCAATCCCAGCCTCGTGGCCAGTTTAAGCTTTAGTAGTCCTGTCCCTCCGCTGGACTGGACTGCTCGTGAATACAGTCCATCGCCTGCATGGATCTGATAGTTTGTAGATCCTTCTTAGCCTTAGTTACTCATAATCTACTCATAATCTCAAGCCGAATCATGCATAACGCAATGAAAGCACAAAGCTGAAAACCACATGAAAATCATATTTATTTTGTATATATTCGTGAATAAAAATCTAGTTCAACTTGTATCTAATTTGAATAATAATTATAATAATTTGAATTTGGAGCCCTGCATGAAAGGGCAACCGAATTGATTCGGTGATCCGATAGAAGCAGCGATTCAGCTTTCTCATACTTAACTTCGAATCGTTTGTCCAAAATGTTTGTGAGGGATTCGAGGTGATTCAAATCTGACTAAAGACAGGTCTCGTAATGATCGAACGCATTAAGGCTGTGATTTCATGAATACTGCGGATCCCTAGTCTCTAGTCTGTTTCCCTTTTAAAATTCGATGCAGAAAATATATTAAATTATCCACGCTCATCACAGAGGAAGTGGGTTTGGCCACCACCAGGCACCATGAGCAGCTTGTGGCCCGGGCAGCTCATCAATGGAAAGCATGGAAACGGGCAGGTACAGGGCGCGCCCACCTTTTTGCCCAAACGCTGGCAATGTACACTCATTGGACATATTGGGCCAGGCCAGATATGGATGGTACAGTTGGACAAGAAACGACAGCTATGCGACTTGACGTCAAACAGATTGCTGCTGATGCGCTGCAGTGGCGAACGGAGATTCATCTACATATGTACATCCATATCCATTCAGGCATAAGTACATAGCTACTCACATAGCTATTACATATGTAGATGCATCCAATATTTCCCGAAGCGATAATCGGAAATGATTGCCGAAACGAATGCACACCGAGTGCGAGTCCGACTGCGGGTCCTGGTGCGGGTCCGGGTGCGGGTTCGGGTGCGGGTCTCGGTCGAGTCCGGGTGCGAGTAACAGGTGGTGGTGGAGGATAGCGGTATCTCGCGTGGGAGAGCAACAGTTCGCCACCACCTCCTGTACATATGTTCAACATGAAAACGTGTACATAATCGAATACCGACGCTACAATCAAATATTACGGACATGCGCAATGGCCAGGCATCGGGAATATGAAGCCCGAAAATGTGGCAGGAAGCTTTTTCCATCCTTCGGCTCACGGCTGCAATTTGGCACTGATACCTACTGATTGCATCAGGTTGTACTTGCATTTCCCCCAGTGAGGTTCTGTTTTCGGAACAGAGTTCAGTGCAGTGTTTGTGCGGTCTGGTTCTGGTTGGAGAGCAGAGCTTGCTTGCAGGAAGAGTGGAGTGCACGGATGGTAAGTTCTTCAGCTGCAGCTGCAGCTGCAGCTATTTATAGCATGCCGCGACCTTGATTTTGGGAGCTGCCCGGGCAACTCAACAACAAAAACAACAGGTGGTAGATATCGCCAGCCACTCCTCGATGATGAAATCAGCCCAAAATCTGTATGTACACCTTATACGTGAAAATCAGAAACTTTTGGAACGAAATTGAGCTGTTACATATAAGTTTTAATAAATGAAATCAACGTGAACTCTGTATATAATTAATTTCTCAATATCAAGATGAAGTTGTATCGATCATGAGAAATAATATGCAAAAGTCAATACTATTACATAGTTTTCTAGATCATAAAATAAACTTCAATTCTAGTAGAAATAAGAGATAGCTAAGGCTATAGGCTTTTGATAATCGCTTTTTTTTGAAGTAATATACAAATCTTTTCTCCCTTAATTTAGTTCAATAGCCCCTATACCTATAATATACTCCCCAAAGTGCCCCATCGCTTAGTCACATGAGAATTGACAGCAATGATCATACCATACTAGTATTTCATTTAATAAACAAATAACGAATATATTGGGATGCATTCCCTAGTCCTTTTTGCCGCCAGCGATCATTCCTTGAATCTCGTTCAGAGTCTTTCCCTTCGTCTCGGGCACCAGGAACATAACGAAAATGATGGCGGCGAAGGAGACGGCGGCAAAGATCCAGAAGCAGGCAGCAGCACCAAATCCGTCCTTGATCAGTGGAAAGGCCAAAGTCACAATGAAGGCGCACATCCAGTTGGTAGTGCCCGCAATGGCTCCGGCCACGGGCTTGGCATCCTCGGCGAACAGTTCGGCCATCAGCAGCCATGGAACTGGTCCAAATCCAAAGGAGAATCCACTGATGAAGACGCAAACAGCAAGCACGGGCAGCCAGCCGACATTTTTTTTCAACAGCCACTGGAAGTAAACGGCCATGATCAAGGTAGTCACGAACATAAGGGCCGCTGAGACGAGCAGCAGAATCTTGCGGCCCACTCTGTCGATAAGCATGATGGAGACAATAGTTGCAATAACCATAACCACCCCGATGATAATCGTGGAGATTGCGGGCGAAAATCCAGTTCCGGCATCTGTGAATATCCCAGTGGAGTAGAAGATGATGGCATTGATGCCGGTTACCTGCTGAAACACCATCAGCATCATCGAGATGCCCAGACTTTTGAGAGTGTTCTTGCGACAGAGGGCTTGCATTGGCTTGACTTTCTCCTTATTGCCTTCGCTTGCCATTTGATTGGATTCTGCACTGACGTCGGCATCCTTGCCGCGGAGAAACTTCAGCGACTTCTCCGCTTTGTCGTTCTTGCCCTTCTGTGCCAGATAGACCGGAGACTCCGGCATCCAAATGAATAGCACAAAGAAGATGATGGGCAAGATACCGCAGAGTATGTTCATCATCTTAACTTTGGCGTAGGCGCCCACGATGAAGCCGTAGAGTACGCCGTGGACGATCAGCAACTGGAAGAAGCAGCCCATGATTCCGCGCTTGCTCAGCTCGGCGATCTCCGTGTTGTACATGGGAGCCGTGATGCAGAAGGCTCCGCCACAGAATCCGACAATGAAGCGGCCAATCATCAGCATAAAGGCTTTCTGGGCAAAGATGATTAGCAGCCAGCCGATGAAGAAGGGGGGTGCCAGGCCCAGCATCGTGATCTTGCGTCCAAAAATGCCAATTAGAACTCCAGCAGGGATGCAGGATGCGGCAGCTCCCAAGGTCAACAGCGATGAGATCCATCCCCATTCCGCGGAGGAGGGCGTGAATTTGTATGCGCCCCCTCCCCTAACTTCTTTCTCAACAGGTCCCGACCATCCGATGCTGGCGCCCAGGCAGAATGCACCAAAAGCTGCTGCAACACCAGCCAGATACTGCTTCCAGCCGCTCATTTTAGGAAAATTTTAGCAATTTCTATATATTTATGTTTGACATATATCGATGTTATATGTTTAAAAGTGATACTGACAAAAGAACGAGCACAGCCACCTTCAGCTCCAATTTGGTGGTAGTGTTCTGAGTTTTTCAATATATTTACAAAGTCGTGAAAAATTATAGGCATCCTATGACTATATCCAAGAGAACAATAAAAGGGAGCCCGAAATAGAAGCGACAGGCTCATTTGCATATATGTAAATGCAATTATGCACTTCAAACTTTACCTCTGAAAGATATTAATTATAGACACTAAATTTATTATTTTAAATAAAATGAACAAATTTACATGATTATCTGACCTGGCAAACCATTTGATGCAGTATTGCATCCGAGACGAGGAGCAAGCTGGTATCTCAATTTCAGCTAATTGCACTTTTCTTGGTGAGCCGCACATAGCGTCAGACTCATGTTTGAATTTGAGTGCATTTCGAATGCGCGAAATATTCTATACTTGGCTCGTACTGAAACGAGAGTCTGCCATTTTGCATGTCTCCGTTCAAGTTGGTTGTTCATTGTTGCTTTCGCTCAGCTCGTACCTCCTATGGTTGAGATTTACACTATTTGGACATGCTCACACGCACATTTTCGTTATCTAACTTGATTCGTTCATCTGTTCTTCCTGCTCTATTATTTACCATATTTCTTGCCAACACGCACAAAAAGATCAAATCATACTTGATTAGGTTTATGGTTTGTATGGGATATGAAAAACAGTTAATAGCCCATTCGCATACCTACTAACTATGCAAAACATGTTGTAAAAATCGGTTAAACTGTTTGGGCAGCAGCTGTTACACAAACACCGTGACAGGAGATTTGTAAACACTAGCTACCTGGGGCCCAAAAAATTTGATCATATCAATCGTTTGTATGACAGGAATAAAATAATTTTTCCGTTAAGCCTACATGTATGTATGGAGATATAGCACCTAATTTTATGGTCCCCAAAGTGCCCCATCGCTTAGCCACATGAGAATCGACATCACTGTTCATACCATGCCAGTAGTTCTATTCATGTAATAAACTAATAACGAATATATTGAGATGCATTCCCTAGTCCTTTTTGCCGCCAGCGATCATTCCTTGAATCTCGTTCAGAGTCTTGCCCTTCGTCTCGGGCACCAGGAACAGAACGAAAATGATGGCGGCGAAGGAGACGGCGGCAAAGATCCAGAAGCAGGCAGCAGGACCAAATTCGTCCTTTATCAGTGGAAAGGCCAAAGTCACAATGAAGGCGAAAATCCAGTTGGTAGTGCCCGCAATGGCTCCGGCCACGGGCTTGGCATCTTCGGCGAACAGTTCGGCCATCAACAGCCATGGGACGGGTCCAAATCCAAGTGAGAATCCAATGATGAAGATGCAAACAGCAAGCACGGGCAGCCAGCCGACATTTTTTTTCGACAGCCACTGGAAGTAGAGGGCCATGATCAAAGTAGCCAAGAACATAAGGGCCGCTGAGGTGAGCAGCAGAATCTTGCGCCCCAGTTTGTCGATCAGCAAGATGGAGACAATAGTGGCAATAACTTGAACCACGCCCAGTATAATGGTGGAGGCTGAGGGCGAAAATCCAGTACCGGCATCCTTGAATATGCCAGTGGCGTAGAAAAGAATGGCATTGATGCCGGTTACCTGCTGGAAAAGCATCAGCATCATCGAAATGGCCATACTTTTGAGAGTGTTCTTGCGACAGAGGGCTTGCATTGGCTTGACTTTCTCCTTATTTCCTTCGCTTGCCATTTGATTGGACTCTGCACTGACGTCGGCATCCTTGCCGCGGAGAAACTTCAGCGACTTCTCCGCTTTGTCATTCTTTCCCTTCTGTGCCAGATACACCGGGGACTCCGGCATCCAAAGGAATAGCACGAAAAAAATGATCGGCCAGATGGCGCAGAGTATGTTCATCATCTTAACTTTGGCGAAGGCACCCACGATGAAGGCATATAGTATGCCGTGGACGATCAGCAACTGGAAGAAGCAGCCCATGATTCCGCGCTTGCTCAGCTCGGCGATCTCCGTGTTGTACATGGGAGCCGTGATGCAGAAGGCTCCGCCACAGAATCCGACAACGAAGCGGCCAATCATCAGCATAAAGGCTTTCTGGGCAAAGATGATCAGCAGCCAGCCGATAAAGAAGGGGGGTGCCAGGCCCAGCATCGTGATCTTGCGTCCAAATATGCCAATTAGAACTCCAACGGGGATGCAGGATGCGGCACCTCCCAATGTCATCAACGAGGATATCCATCCCCATTCCATGGAGGAGGGCGCGAACTTGTATGCGTCCCCTGCTTTAACTTCTTGCTCAACAGGTCCTGACCAACCGATGCAGCAGCCCAGGCAGAAGGCACCTAGAGCGGCTATTGTACCAGCTAAAAATTGCTTCCAGCCGCTCATTTTTGAAAATTTTAGAAATTACACTATAATGTTTTGTGATATATTTATTTAGTGTGGATATGTCTCAAATGGGAATATCAAAGCGAAACTGAGAGGAGAGCACAGGCAGACGACGAACTCACATACATGCCATGCGAAGGGGGCGGGACGGCCTACCTGTTCCCCAAAAAGTTTTCCACATTCATGCCCTCTCGCTCTGGGAAAAGAGAGGGCATGGCTTCGCTCCGAGCGAAAGGTCCTTGAGCAACAGCTTAGCTGGCTCTCTCCCGAAGCTTTTGCTGAATTCGCTCGTATCCTTTCGCAGAGGCGAATTCGCTGTATAAAACACCGAGCCCTGTGCCAGTGGTCCGACACTGTTCCGTCTTGACTTAGGACTGAAGGACCCGACTAACTTTCAGTGCTCTGGCGTAGGCGTGACGCCATGTTGTGAAAAGTGTCTGAGCAAAAGTATTCTTAATTTTCGAGGAAAAAGTGCAATTTACAACTAACTGCAAATTGAAATCAAGTGAGTAGCGACCAATACTCGTACATGAGATGCAAACGGAGTCGTTACTCGGCTGCAAGAGCAAGAGCTGTGCAAATTCTGGACTTGCCATTGATTTGTTTTTCGTTGCTTTTTCGTCGGCGATGTGGGGGCGTGTGTGGGCGTAACGCAAGGGCGGTGAAAAGACGCCACGAATATTGCGTAAAATTTATTCGCAGCACTCTCTCATTTCCTGTCTCTAATTAGATATTGCAAATTGCTTGATTGCACAAGTTGTTTTTGTTTGCGTATGCTTCAAGCAGTCGTGAACTGAACTGAACTGAAACTTGAATACATCACACATAAAAAGGTACATACATACACACACTCGCCCCCGCACTCGTGGGGGGCATAACAGTCGCATAACAAGCTTAACAAACAAGTTGCTCCTCCTTCTGTCGTCGTAGAATTTGGCCCCAGGACAGCAGCAGCGTTCCGGCTTCATTTAAATATTTTAAGCCAAAAAGCTCTTGCCCCAACAGCCTAATTAGCCACTTCCACCAACTCTTCCTCTTCCTCTGGAAAAATGCATCCCGGACGCGACTCACTTAGTTGGGGTCCGCCGGCGAATACCCAATTCAATTTGTCCCAATTTGCTGCAGGGAAAACCAGAAAATAAATGTATAATCCTGAGCAGGGTATCCATGGTTTCAAAATTACTGCGGCAAATTCAATTATCTCGCTAATATGAATTTCCTGCTGGGTCCTGCCTCTCTGTCAAATGGATCCAAAAATCTGGTCATATTAGGGAGAGGTGGAGAGGGATACAAAATGAATTTTCTAGGCAATCTTTGTAGTCTGCAATTGAATGATTGACACTAGCTGCATTTTGCTGTACATACAACCAAGACACAAGCTGAGACTCTAATCAATATTCAATCAAATGAACCAGCAGCTGTAAGGAGAAAATTCGATTTTCCTGCTGTGGAAAACCTTCCCAAGAAGCAACAGGCAACGGGCCATCCAAAGAGCACGCATCCCAACAACAGTCTTCTAACCTCGTATTGTAATTCAATGAGACTGAGATCCGTTTTCCTGCATTTGCGTTCCTGCCCTCAACTTTAAGCCGGCATAAACGACTAGATAGTGAGGAGACAAGAGCCCAGCCATGCAGAAATAATATATTGAAAGAACCAATAGCAACAGCAACTAAGACCAGAATAATGAAGCCAACAGCTGTAGGCGAGCCACAGTAGGTGCAGGGGAGCTGTTAAACCAAACTAAAGAAAACCCAAAGAAAGGAAGGATAAAACGTCAGCTGCCTTGACATTTAATGGTACAAATGAAAAGCTAACGCTGCCGCAGGTACGTGGCATGCATGTGTAGGTGGCCACATCCAAGGCGTCTATTCATTGAGATTTATTCCCATTCTCTGCTGAAGTCAGGAATGTATAGCATACTTATGTGCGCCATCGCCATCGTTAAGAAAAGGAATGAGGAATGGAATGGGTGGGATGAGCTCGCACTCAATGGCATTTGGCATCCAACCAACCATTCAACTTTCACATAATTGTCAACTCTGGCTTTTGTCAGCGACCAAGAATTCAGCCCACGGAGCAGACGAAAAGGAAGTACGTAGATAGAAGCTCTGAAGAGAGAAATTCTACTCCCTCCAATTTTGATGAAGATGATGAAAATATTCACGCACATTGGAATTTTATTGATTTATAAGGGGGAACCTTTTATATGCGTGTGGGCGGTAGAGGATGTTCTTCATTAGATAGTCGGGACCCAATGGGTAAATTATTCAAATACCTTTTGTCATGCGGAATTTGGTTACCTGATGATGATCATCTGCATAATTAAGTAATGTAACATGGAATTTCACACACCATAAAGAAGCGTATATACAACATACATATGTACAGACTATATATAAACCTTGCTTTAAAGTGCAAATGTAATTAAAAGTTTTTTACCGTGCCGGGCCGCCGTGGAACGTGTTGAGCATAAAATCACTTTTAACGGGGTTATATTTCAACCATTCAACCGTATCGTTTTATGCCTCTCTTTTTTAATCCGAACCCCTTTTTTACCCTTTCCCTTTGTTTTTTGCTCGTTCTTGTTGCAGTTGGT